TCGCTGTCGCTACTCCACGTGCTAATGGGCAGGTTGAGCGTTTCAACCGAGTTCTTACGCCGATGTTGGCAAAGCTATGTGAAACACCAGAAAAATGGGATAAAATATTAGAAGACGTCGAATTTTCCCTTAATAATACACGCTGTCGAGGCACGGGTAACACTCCTAGTCAATTATTATTTGGTATCGATCAATTAGGAACCGTGAACGATGAGATTCGTCTCTTCCTTAATCCGTATTGCGATGACGACAGAGATTTGGAAACCATTAGAGATCAGGCGGTAAATGTTATTAAAAATATCCAAAGTGCGAACGAAATTTATTATAATAGTAAGCGAAAGCGTGCGACCATTTATAAACAAGGCGATTACGTTATGATCCGCAATACTGATGTAACACCGGGGGTAAACAAAAAGTTAATCCCACAGTTCAAGGGTCCGTATGTCATAAAAAGCGTCCTTGATCACGACCGTTACGTCGTGTCAGATATTGAGGGCTTCCAAGTAACACAGTTACCATACACGGGAGTCGTGAGTTCAGACCATATAAAGATGTACACAAATAAAGAATAATAAGACAAATTCTACCATGTTGATGGGGAATAATCTAATGATGACAGCCGATTTCTATAGCGCTTATTGACTCGCAAATGTATAATGTATTGTTATATTAATCTTATTATTAGTAGCTTTATTTCATTTTACTACAAAGATTGACGATTATAGTGATGAAAGAATTTATTGTATTTATGCCCGAGACGGCCATAATGTCAGGCTGGCCGAGCTGTAGGCGGCTTGTAATATATATGGACCGCTACAAGTGTTGTGACACGTGCCTACCGAGTGACTTTACCTCAATAACAACGTGCTATGTGACGTACTTAGTTTTTACTTGTTTTCGCGATTTCCAAAAGCGAGAGATCGTCCTCATCCGCGTACACATCGAGTCAGTCGAAGCGTAGCGAGCGAGCAAGTCACTGTACGTGTAAGCGAACTTTAATATAACGATTTGATTTGATATATCATTTCATTTATCACCACTGTCCTTCTCTCCTACATTACAATATAATACAATATAATACAAATTCTGCGATATGTTTTTTGAAATAATTTCTCAGCTCTTTATACGAATTACCTTTTTGATTTCCTAATTCTTTCGTTTAAAAAATATTTTACTCAAAGTATTTTTATACAAAATGCATGAAGAATGAGCTTGCTACGAATCCGTCATTTCTTATAAACGCTTTCCTCGACTGTGCAGCGTATTTCACAAATAAAAGATGTAATGTATTCCTGCTGCAAGCATTCATGTAGCTACTGCAATATATTCCTTATTGTCATGACCGAAGGTCGAGGACAAAACTTGAGATTCGCGCATACGTGCTCATGAAATGCAATATATTTGACTGCACAAAAATCCTGCCTTAATATTTCGATCTAGCTTCATCTTTAAGATTCGACATATTCGATAGTGAAACAATAAATGAAATAGAAAGTACCATGCGCATGTCTGTGTGTTCTAAAAAAGAAACATAAACACAGAGCTAAATAAGATCAGATTGTCAGAAAAATCCGGCAAAGTGGGAGTAGAAAGGTGGTAATTGTTACGAAGAATTACGAAGGATGAGGCATTGTATGTATATTTTCCAACGAGGCGCGCGTACAATCGTGAACATCGTAGCTTCTCTGACTATGTAATTCAAGCTGTATGTAAGTATTTTCTTAACGTGTAAACTTTCTGCTTGACGATTATATTATTTGAGTCTCGAGAAATACTGCAATTTTCTGGTCAATAAAATATTTTTCAAACAACGAATAAGCGAAAGATTAAAATTTTCAACAGGATAGATCGAATTATCACTTTGGTGACTAGGTATCACTTTTTATTTTAGTTAATTCTGAGATTTTTTCTTAATTAATTTTCTGTTCTGTGTGTATATATATTTTTATCATCTTGTGCAATAACATATCGAAATTCCAGTGAAACGTCTCTTTTATTTCGCGAAATACTAATGGCGAAATCGCGTCTGTGGTATGCGAGCAAGTGCATTATCAACAGTAACTGCGTTAAACCGGCAAATGCATTTTGTATGTTTCAGTAGGATTGTATCCCATGTCGCGTCGTCGAATCGCTGCGATAGTCTCCGCGATAATGCTCCAAAAATATTGTAAATAGTTGCAAATTGAAACAAAATCCTCTAATCCATGAATCAACAACATTCTGATAAAATAATCTCAATATAAGCTACAGAATCTCTCTTTAAACAAACGCATAATGCATAATGAATAAAAATAATGTATGCTGTGTCACACACATACACATAGGAAAATAAATTTTAATCAGTACCGATATCGCGAATCTGTTTCTACACGCGGATGTATATTATATAATCTATTATTATTATTATAAATCACATTATAACTTTTGGAAAGCATTTGATCCCATAAATTATATAATATGAATTATATTAGCGATAATTATAGTATATGAATTGAAACATGTGACATCGTAGTCAGTGATGCTCATTAACGTGATAAATACGTGACGTATCGTAATCAATTCCCGAGAGTAGCGATGGAAACCGTGTAGCGGCCGAATAGTTTTCGGAGTTACGAGAAACTAATTACTCTTACCTAAGACCAGATCACATGATAAAACGAATAACACGAGGGTTCATTATCCGTGTATGCTGCGTGCGCAACTTGTTAATCACTGGTTATCGTTAAGAGAAAGGGTTTATAATACCGTGGAAACAAGTACACAGGCATAAGTTATCTTCTTTCGATTTTTATGGCTCTAATTGTAAAACAATAATCGAAAAATATTAATTATTGGCATTATTATTTATTCTATTGGAAATAATTCTATAATAAATTTTTAGAAAATAATTATTTCCAACAGAAAAAAATAATAATGCTAATAATTAATTTCTCTATATTATAAGTTACTTTCTTACGACTTTTTCATGACTAATTATAAAACAATAATTGAAAAATATTAATTATTGGCATTATTATTTTTTCTGTTGAGAATAATTATTTTCTAAGAAAGAACAGAAAAAATAATAATGCCAATAAGTAATTTCTCATCTATATTATATTATTTCTCTATTTTATAAGTTATCTTCTTACGACTTTTTATAACTCTAAATTGTAAAACAATAATAAAAAAATATTAATTATATTGGCATCATTATTTTTTCTGTTAGGAATAATTATTTTCTAAAAAAATTTTTATATCCAACAGAAAAAATAATAATGCCAATAATTAACATTGTTCGATTATTGTTTTACAATTAGAATAAAAAAGTCGTAAGAATGTAACTTATAATATATAGAGAAAAAAGTAATTCAATTAAGTACTCGTTTTATTGTTCCATGTTTTATTTAGATTGTTTCCATGTTTAAAATTATGAGATATGCATCCTGTTTATTAAATCACCGGCATCCTTTCGAAGTTTCCAGCAAATTGGAAAATCGCGAGACATGACTTCACGCCGGTGACATGCGTCAGATTGCGCAAACGTGATTCGCATTTAATCGCACGCGCCTGTCGTTTTATGTAACGCGCCAGGAAGATGCACATGGATGCATCAATTTCGAAGGCGGCGTTTATAAATAAACATAAAGATTATAATAATGCGATCGCTTTCGAAGCGGCACATATAGATAATGATTTAATAAAGAAGCAAGGACTCACCGGCGAGGAAGTCAGAAGGCTGGCGTTGTCCGCGAAATTACATGCATCGGTTGCAATTCGAAGTTATCCTTGGAGCGCGTTGCACTTTGAAAATCCAATCCCGTGCTGATGATATTGGAGCCGCACTTGGATTCGTTGCACAAGATCGTGTTCACCGTCCACGCATTCCCGAATTTCAAGGCCGGACTCGCTTCCGTTCGTTCGCAAAGATGATATAAAGTGTCGCGAAATGCACTTGGCGAATTGTATGACAGATAGCGAGTGACGCACGTTGCCAGGTTGATGCCGTTGTCACGCCTCGGGCTTCTACGGCGGTGCAACATCGTAGGCAGCAGGTGCCAGGTAAGGAACTAGGAATCCAGGTGCCCTTGCTGCCGGCAACGTCATTACACGGCCGCGACTCGCTTTCGCAATTTGCGCGGCGCACTTTAGAGTTGTGCGCAGCCGCGCCATTCTACTATAATAGGTGTCAAGCGAAGCACAGATCGGTGATTTAACGCTGTGCACACCTAACAAAAAAGGAGAAAGGAAAAGGTTAAATAATCGAAAATTTAGCAGATCGAATATATATAACCCCTAACAGCACATATCTCAAAAACATTTAGAGAACCTCCTGAGGATGTTCAATGTCGCCTCTGGATATCCTCTTAATATCCTTCGGATATGTTGTGCTAGGAATTCGACCGAATTCGTATTATTTTAGAATAAAAAATAAAAAAATATAAAGTTTGAATTAATATGTTTTTACACCTGCGCAAACTGACGCCGGTGCAGCTAGGATATACATTTCATGTTTAGATAAAATAAATTTATGCTCTAGACAAACTGCAAACATGAAATGTGTCCTAGCATTTGATTCTTTATATATGCACGCATGTTCTATAACATTAAAATCTTTTGATTTGATACAGCAAAAAGCACTACCTTCCGATTGTCGTCGAGTATCGATTGAAGCACATCGTCTTGTAGGCGAATCACATTGATATACCTCGAATTCTTTTATCTCTGATTCCTTTTCTATCGAATGTTGGAATTTTCAGACTGATATTTGCTATCACCAGTGCAGATTATCTCGTCGCGTTGTTTCTCTCGCACCGATGTCCAACCATAAACGTATAATGATGTAGAACGAATTATAACGGCACAATTATTACACGCGATTTTGATTAAATTGAACATTGGCGATTAACATCTACAAAGTCAAATTGAAAGTGACAGTAGGGAGCGCCACCGTCCACTTGCCTTTCGCTCGCGCATGCGCGTGACCGCGGCCAATTCACGGCCCCACTCCCGCGGTGACGACTGACTATACCGCTAATTGTCAATGGCGCGATGACGCGACGCCGTACAAATGGCGGGCGAGGAAACAGCTGTTTATGTCACCGTCGACTCGACATCTAGCGGAGCGCGGGCGCGATCGGGCACGCGTCGGCGACGACGTCGACGTAGAGTACGTCGCGGAGAGGAGACTCGTAGACGAGGAATAAGGAGGAGGACCGAGACGGCAGTGCTCATCGGCGAACCGTCCAGGAGGAACATGGCCGCCAGTTGCTGCGGCGCGAAGAAGCAGAGGGTGGGTGGCGGCGGCGCGGCACCGAGCCTGTCATCGTGCGATGGCACCGTCATACGTCACGGCGTGCCTCGTCCGAGGAAGCCCATGTCAATCGCCCAACCGGAGATGGGCTTCTTCTGCTTCGACGTGCTCTATTGTCAGCTGCATCAATTGGACCCGCCGAAGGCGCCCAATTTCAGCAACGAAACGTTGTGAGTTGATCTGTCATTTCTCCCTCTATCTCTGTCTCCTTTTATGCATCCGTCCGTCCGACCGTCCACCCGTCTTGTCGAGTCAGCTGTTGTCTTCTAGGTACGTTGCACGTCGTCTTCGTCGCGCTTGTCCTGAAAGTTGCGACTTTTTCAGATTAAATTTCGATGCTGCAGCTGTAGAGAAAGGCACAATCTTTAGGCTAATTGTATATTAATAATAGATTTGTATATTTGGGTATGTTTATATTTTTAGAGCTCGTTAGCTTTTCATTTTTGACATTTGACATTGGTCATGAAATCTACTCACCAAGTTGCATTAAAATGAATTTATTTGATTTTCGCGTTTAGATTGTTATCTGTCGGAGAGTACACGGTATATTATCGCGACGATTTCTCATACTTTTGTAGCATATTATGCCAACTATATAGGTCATCGAGGATTTATTATATTATCTTTACAAAAGCGTTGTTAATAAGAATTGCTATGCATATACATATTCCTATATTATTAATTTCACTATTTTGGACAAATTTACGGTGAAAGATAAATCCAGAAATTACTATTGTTTTTGTGTTATATTTATTTTTATTATATTTATATATTTTATTAAATACACTAAAAAATTATTTCTTTTTTTAATATTAATCATATCTTGATAAAATTTGAATTTTTGCTAAATATACATAAATTGAAATATACTTTGATTTATTTTATTTTTCTCTTTTTATCTCCTTTTTATTGTCTCGTAAAAAATAATGTGTAAATATGAAATGTTTAATATATGGGTACGTCTTTTCAGCCCATTATTTGTGACATGGACAATAGGAAAAGATATGAGATTACGAGGTTGTATCGGTACTTTTAATGCGATGCAATTACATGCTGGCCTACGTGAATATGCTACAACTAGGTGAGACAATGTTTCTCACGTTAAAACATAATTAATAATATAAAAATAGTCAAAATATTATGAGATATATTTAAAAATAGACGCAGATTGTATCTATCAGAATTTTTTTATATTATTTTATATGAATATGATTGTAATATTGAACATAATTCACACTTTTTATCTCTATGCTTCACGCTTTTTATCTCTATGTTTATCTGTTTTAAAGCGCATTCAAAGACTCCCGATTTAATCCCATAACTCAAGACGAGTTGCCACGATTGCACGTAAGCGTGTCGATTTTGCGGCACTTTGAAGACGGAATTGATTATTTAGATTGGGAAGTAGGCGTACATGGAATTCGTATAGAGTTTCACAATGAAAAGGGTAATAAGCGAACGGCTACTTACTTGCCCAGCGTAGCTATGGAGCAAGGTGCGTATCTGATTCGATAGTGTAGAACAAGTTTTAAAATTTTCGAAACTAAATTATTACGTTAAAACAAATTTAATTAAATTATCACGTTCGATAATTATTCAATTCGATTATTCAGGATGGGACCAGATACAAACAATAGATTCTCTACTACATAAAGGTGGCTTTAAAGGTCTAGTCACACCCGATATCCGTCGTAGCCTGAAACTGACTCGTTATCAGAGTGAGGAAGTCACCGTGAGCTATCAAGATTACATGACTCATTGTCATAATCGAAGATGCTAGCAGCTCGCCTGGGGTCCTAGCCAAGGGCCCCCGCTTCAACGACCCGCAGAAGCTCATTATAACAACGCGCATACAGTCAATTCGTCTCATTCACAAAATGATAATATTCGGTATAATTCCTTCGTATCAGATCGGCAAAACTCGCAGATTATGACACAGCCTAATCGTTCGACGTTTATACATCCGTTGCCCCTACCTCCAATTTCCCCAGTTATACCGATACGCAATAGTACACCCTTCTGGTGGGATAACGCAGGTCCGTCCTATCCACCTGCACCACTTTATGTTCGATCACCACATCGCTTTTCAATGCAGGAAAACGGGGAACGCGGGGTACGTAAACGAAAATGACATTGCAAGCGGTTATTTCTCGCGATTTTTCACTGTTTAAAATGGTGCGTATTTTTGTGTCTCAGTATACATAGCCTCCCGTTTATGATACCGCATGCTCCGTCTTGAGGATAATAATTTCATACATGATAGCACCGCCTAATTATTAATTGTTATGCTGATGTTGGAATTATAAGTAACAATATTATCCCATAACGTTTTAATATTTACAATTTGACTAAAAATTATATTTGCATATACATTGGCTTTAAATATTTTTGAACGTTATATTTAAATCATTTTAACATGCCTAAAATTTGTCGATTTTGAAAATTTATTGATGAATGAACAACAAAAATGCTTAATTAAATGTTTATCGATTAATTTTTCTCATAAACATTTCAACTCTCTTTTAGCAATTAGTTCTGCCAACATATAAAGAATCTGCATTTATATATATTGTTTCAATATAATACTTTACGAATATAAAAAATGAGCACACTTGTATAAGACAGTGAGTATGTTTAAAATTCACTGCCTGCTTCACAAGATTTAATGTACAAATTGAGATGTGTTAGAACTTTTATATAATATATCAGACATAATATTCTTAGACATATATTAAGTGAAAATTGAAGAAAAATTTGAAGTTTTTGATAGAAATGTGATTTCTCTCTGTTTTAATATATTTCTCGCTAATATATAATTTATTCGTATTACAGCGTGAGCTTTTTTGTCTCGCGTCATAGAAAAATTTTCGCCTTATTAAAGTATACTCAATTATATATTTAATCACACAAAACTTCGCCACAGAAATGACAGAAATTGTCTACAGTGGTTGGTGATTTAGTTAATAAAATATTTAAAAAGGCAAATATATAAAACAGTAGAAAATATAAATAAATATTAGATATTAGTTAGATATAAGTAAAAAAATATAATGATCTCATTGTGAGTAAAATTTAATATTTTTTCGATTGATAAATCATAATTTTGTGTAATAATTTACACTAATATCTTACGCTGTGCATCTATTATATATACATATATATATATATATATATATATAAATTAATCACATCTTACAATATTATATAATATAAAGTAAGTACTTGATTATATAAATTGTATATTTTTCGGCATCAAAATTTTACTTTTGTCTTGAACTGTCAGCTATTTTGAATAGCAGGCTTTAAACACTGCCAATTTTTATTCGTGCTTTATTATATCTTTTACACTATAATGAACTTCGTTAAAAATAAATGTGTAAAAATTGTTATTGTATCTTTGTTATATTATGTCTATGCTGTGCATATTGATTCGTGTTATTATTTATTATATAAAATCTATAATAATTAGCGAGTTCCTGATAAAGATCTTGCCTTCTGAGTCTCGGCATAATCGTCCAATTAACTGCCATGCGATCTTCATTAATGTATGCGTTCATTTGGCCTATGGGACTCTATTTGTGTAATACATGTTACGATTTACGCATATATGAATGCACTTTTACAATTAAAACCAAAAATAATTCTAACGTTAAAATAATTCTAGTGTTGTAATTATATTTTGCGATATAGTAGTAAATTATATTCGTGTTTGTCGAATTTGATCTGCAAAATACAATAAAAATGCACTTACAAAGCAAATTTTTGATGTCATTCATGCAATTAAATAGCATTAAGTATTACTTAAATTAGATAATTAATGTGTCATATAAATTGGTTAAAAAAAAATAAATTATTTTATAAAACTCATCAAAATCTACATACATATATGCACGTATATATTTGTAATTAAAATAAGCACACAATTCATCTTAATATTTTTCTCAATAATCAATGCAATGTAATACAAAGTTATATGATAAAAAAATATTTTCGAAACACCTATATATACATTTGCAATATTAATTGTTATATTTGGTATCATCTTTCTCTGATTAATATAATATCACACAAGCGAATATATGTCTTTATTTTATTTTATTATTAGATATTTGTTAGGATATCGCTAGTCGACTTTTCACTGTAATGAAAAAAATAGAATAAAAAATTTTATATTGTCATAAAGATTATTGTAAAATCAATCCTTCATTATTGATGTCTTTTTCTTCCTTTAAAAGATTTAATATAGGTATCTGTTTTATGCTATGCATGGAAAATGAATTCTTATATCTTATTTAAACACAGAAAGCAAGTATTATAAAAGCAAATTAAAAGATATAACGTATAAATAAATATACGCATATGTTTTATATAATCTATATATATATATATATATATTTTAATCGTGCAAAGAAACACTTGTGAGATGGCGCCGCGATGTCACGCGCGATGCAACCGGCGTCGCGACGCATAACCGGCTTGATCGCGTCGCGTCGTGGATGTGCGTATCAGTGGTAATCGCGGTCCTAGACCGCACGCGTGTTTCGTACACGAGTATGAGAGCGCGTTATCATGGAGATGATGCATCCGGTGACAGTTTCTCGTTGCGGACGATCAACGGTGAATTTTTTCCAGCGAAACCTCCCGGCTGACATACGGGCGTCGACATGTTGCCGTGTTCCGGACGAGTTCTCAAGCCGCATATCGCGTCCGTACATTTATTTCGCATTGTCCTAAAAGTTGTAAATAAAAAAAGGAATTGTGCGTCTCGTCGCTCGTCATTAACAACACGATATTTATGCGATCTTCGGTCGTTTACGCCGACTTACGTCGCGTTTCCGTGTACGACGTAGTGTTTGCTGCCGTGTTTCCATCCTCGTAAAAGCGGCCGAAGGTGCGGAACGAAATTGGGTATTTATCGCCGAAAATCTTTCGTAATTGCCGCGGTAAGCGGGTCGTGCGGCATGAATATCGAAAATTGTACGAAAAGGCTCTCGAAACCGACCAGTTCATCGCTTTTACTCGCTACGCTGATCTTCGTCTCGTAATGATGCGTAATGCTAGATTTGATTGCAAACAAAAAAATATGATTTATTCGTGCTCATATTTTATCAATAAAAAGTATAATTTTAAAATTTGATGTTCCCCATATTATGTAATTTACAAACGATAAACTTGAAAAGGAAGAAAAAGAAATATATTAATATTATAATGAGAAGTTATTTCTTTTAAATTCGAACAAATAAATATTGCTTAATTATTATTTATTATTACCTGTTATACCTTATTCAAAAAGAATAGATTGAATTTGCATAACGCACGAATAGCTTCTGGCAAATAATAATGTTTATCCATAATCAAAGTTTTGCAGTTTTTGCAAATTTTAAGACACAAGTGGTCACATATATTTAAGTAATAACTTTCGAATTACGCGCCAAAAATATATTAGTGAAAGTACTTTTCTAACCTCGATTAAATGTGACACCAATTATGTAATTATTGATAAATTTTGCGTACATAATACATATCTCTCTCATTAGAAAAAAAAGCAATACATCATATCAATCTTTCATTTTTTCAAATAAAATAATATATAAATATAACGAAAAAGATAATAAATCATACTGTCATTTCTTACCGCACAAATCGCATTGTCGCGTGTTATCATGAACAACAATCATAAGAAATATATGGAGAAGTAGTGCAGGCGAAGCCTCGACTCGTAAGCGAATGAATATGAATGTTGTTTTGACATCGGTCGTTTGTATTGACAGGCGCGCGCGGAAAGGACGGTGACGAAATGGCGGGCGATGAAACAGCTGTTTTGACGCGCGGTGCGCCATCTGGTGGCGCGCGCGCGCGACACTGCACGCTACGACGGCGGCGATCGCGGCTAGTCGCTGCAGAACGGGCGGACGAGACGGGAGCGAGACAAGACGCATACGCGGGTCGTAGACCGTTCGTGTCCGCAGTGATTCGGGTCGCGTAGTGGTCGACAACGACGAACAACGGCTGAAACGGGAGAAACATGGCTGCTGGCTGTTGCGGTACGAAAAAGCAAAAGCTCAACAACAATTCCACGGGCGCGCCATGCAACGGTACAACGGTACTGTCGAACGGTACGCGTATACGTAATACGCTGATTGTGCAGCCCGAGATGGGCTTCTACTGCTTCGATGTCCTCTACTGCCAACTGCACCAACTCGACCCACCAAAATCGCCCAACTTCAGCAACGAAGCATTGTGAGTGGAACAATCACGCTGAATGAGCTGGTCTCTCATTTGATCTGGCATCTATTCGTTTTCCTTTTTTCTTTGTCCTGACTGATGCATCGCGCGTATTGCATCTGTCTTTCTCGCTCTCTCGTGGCTTTTCCCGTGCGCGTCTTCACCGCCCCACCATTTCCATTCTCTTCTCTGCCAAGGCGCCTTTTTTTCTTTCATTGCCGTCCTTTTCTCCCGCCACCTACGCCAGCGCGCCTCTTTGTTGAAATCGCTCTCGCTTTTATGTTTTCAACTACTGTTGTTGCGTTAGGACAAAGGGGGGATGGAGGAAGAGGGACTACGAAAACGTTCGCAGGCTCCTTGTCTGTTATAAGACGTGCGTCTTGTACTTTCCATATCTTCCGCCCTGAGCTGTCAACCTCGGGCTGAGATTATGCAAAGTACATTGTTCAACTTCATTTATCTATATATAAGCGTTGGAAAGTTTCTGCCTTTGTTATTATACGTTCTCTTCGATTTATAATAGATAGAAATCGATTTCTATTTCGTGTTTTGTTCTTCATTCTAGTTTGCATTTAAGAAATATATGTGCATATAATTGTATATGTGTATATATATAAAATTTAATTATTGATTAATAGCATAATGTTTATATACTTGTTTGTATTATGTAATTATTTACATGAATAAGTAATAAGTAAAATGTTGATTTAAAAAAGCATTAATTATTAGAATTTTATTTTATATATATTTAGCTTAAAATTCTATCAAAGATTCAGTAATGTTTTTAGATAAGTCTATCACTCAATTTTGCGGTTTAATTCTAATATTAATACATTCTTTTCATTCATATCTTTCCAGTCCCCTGTTTGTGACGTGGACTATTGGCAAAGATATGCGACTACGTGGCTGCATTGGTACATTCAATGCTATGCATTTGCACGCAGGACTTAGGGAATATGCTACTACTAGGTAATATATCTTTCTTTTTTAATTTGATTATTTAGATTTATGGCATTAAAGAATTATGAAAGTAATTTTTAAATAATCATATTTTAGTGCTTTCAAAGATTCACGATTCAATCCTATAACACGAGAGGAACTTCCACGCTTACATGTGAGCGTTTCTATCCTGCGGCATTTTGAAGATGGTGTGGATTACTTAGATTGGGAGATAGGAGTGCATGGAATTCGCATAGAGTTTCATAATGAAAAGGGCAATAAAAGAACTGCTACTTACTTACCTGATGTTGCAACTGAACAAGGTAAATATGTGTACATTGTGCTATCAATTGTTAGTGAATTAGCTCATTGATCATCATATTTCTTACATGCATAGTTTAATTTATTTGATTAATATTTTTTTTTCTGTACAGGTTGGGACCAGGTTCAAACAATAGATTCGCTATTACATAAGGGTGGTTATAAGGGCTTAGTGACACCAGATATTAGACGCAGTGTGAAACTGACTCGATACCAGAGTGAGAAGATTACTGTAAGCTATCAAGATTACATGACACATTGGCACAATCGAAGATGCTAGCAGCTGGCTTGGGGTCCTATTCAAGGGCCCCTACCTTGTCAAACTGCTGGCACATTTTGTTACAAAAATACTGCTGACACAGTTAACGCATCTTACCCACAATACAATACCACTCAATACAATTCCTTCATGGCCAATCAGCAACATACATTAGTTATGGTTCAGCCGAATCACCCCACGTTCATGCACACACTTCCAATGCCACCACTTCCTTCAGTTGTGGTACCTATGCAGAATTATCCACCTTTTTAATGGAATTATGTGTATTGCATCCTTCAGTGTACTATTGTTATTCTTTGAAAAAACTTTTGTAAGGTAAAAAAATAAATTAAATGCATAAAAATTAACACTGAAGGTGGCTATTATATATAATTTTCTATTGCTTGATGAAAGTCTATTTTATTTTTATTATTCAACAGCATTTATTCTCTCTATTTCTTTCACGATTTCTCTTCTGGTTCTTGTGCGATAATATTTCTCGAATAATGAAAATATACAATATTTTAAGTATGGTAGCAATGTTCTTCCAAAATAATATTTGCTGTAAGCATAATATGTCGGCTATAGATATATAAGATAGATTCTTGTTCTCGTGTTGTACAATTTTATGATTGTTAAATTGGAAATAATAATAATAATAATCTATCTGCGTTTAAAACAACGCGAGTTCAGTTTGCTGTTTAACACTTATCATTTGATACTATCGATCAATGTAAGTAGTAAGATTAGCTTTGCTATCATGCTAGGGCATCTTACACTTATTAACATTTGGGAAACAAATGACGCAAAAAATTTCGTAATACATACAACACTATATAATTAACAGTGACTATATTAATCTATCCAATTTATGCATCTAATTAATTGGGTATAGCATAAGTTCATTATCTGGTCACTTGTTTACAATGCCCATGTTATTAAAAGCAGATTTAAAATGTCAGAATAAACATTATAAGCAATAAAATATTTTGATTTTCTAAAAAAATAGCCAAGTAATTTCATCAGAGTTTCTTAAAAGTTCTGTAATTTTAATAAAACAATACAGATGTTTGCACACTATTATTTAGAATTAAAAGGAAGTTATTTGCTTTTTTTTCTAAGATGTAATCATTAATTATTCATACTTACAACATTTGACACAATAACACTTTACGTCTATACATAATTTCTTTGCATCAATGGTATAAATAAAAGCTTTTTCAAAGATTTTATTAAGTTATTACTGTTGAGTTGAGACATACTGTCACATACTAATTTATTTTTGTGTGAATATTAATCTTTTTCTGTTTTTAATCATGTATTCGGATTATGTTGTTAATAAAATATTAAAGTAACATAAATGTTATATAAATTTTTAATATGTTGTATATTTATACCATTCCTGCAATGAAGTTTAAAGACGTTAGTTTAAAATAGTCCAACGTTTTATTGCAGCAAAGGATTCTTTATATTAATAACAATAATATATAATTAAATTATAATTAACAAATTTTAATTACATTCTCATTCTCATTTTCTTTCACAAAGTTTTAATTGGAAAAGACATAAAGAATTTTAGACTTTAACTGCTTTTATATTAATAGATTAATATATTTAATGATCTATTTAGCATAAGAATCTCTCTACTGTAAATAGACAATGGACTACATTATACTAATAAAAAAAATTAAGTATAGATATAAAATAGATTTAAGACATACATTAACAAAAATTACGATCTCATTATGATGTTGATTGCTGTGCAAATCATGATGATGATTTACATTCATTATGATAACATCAGAAAAAAATCTTTTTCCAATGCTTAAAAGTAGCAAAATAATATGGAAATAGATAAAACACGATTATGTATATTATAAATGTGTACATACAATTGGTTTATGATACAAGATGAATAATGTGTACTTGAAGAAAAAAGTAGTACTGGAGGTAAAAAATAGCACGGAAAAAGTAGTATTGGAATATATATCATTGTACCTTAAATACGTGGTACATTTAATAGCATTGTCACATAAATAGGAGTTCAGGAATATTTTATATTATATTAAACTATCATGCTTCTTAGATTCCACAGCTATGCGATAGCTGGTTTCATTCACTGCCAACATAATCATTGTTCTAGATATTATTATATAAAATCCTATTCCCGAAAGAATAAACAAATCAGGTTGTTGTACTTTGATTGAATTGATGCATTAGTATCTGGTGTTATCTTTTATATATTCTTATTGCATACACATATAGTTCCTGGGATCTCCTTGCTACTTGAGCCCTATGTAACGTCCAGTAAACTGCCAGTAATATACTTAATTCTAGAGTAGTTGGCAAAATCAAAATTGCGTTTATCTGTGCCCAAATTGACTTAAAAAATCTAATCACAATTTAATAATATAAAATTCCAGTAGTTTATTTAACATAACAAGTGTAAAATTTGACTTAAATTAGAATTTTAATCTATTACATATTCTGGAAGCCTGTGTGAAATATTATATCTTTGAATTTTCAAGATAAAATCTACATCAGTACATGAAAATATTAAATATTTTATCTTATGCTTAGAGAAGTAAAGTATTGACGTATTATGTTTAATGATGAGTTCATGCATATATATATATATATATATATATATATATATATATATATATATATATATACAAAGCCATACTTTGAGTCAAAATATTGTAAACTTATATATTAATTAAATTAAATAATTAACATAGAAAAATTTGTCTTGAATCAGAAAAGTTATATATTAAATATTTAAATCAGTGACATTTTAAACAGCGTTTAAAAGCGTTTATTATTGTAATAAATCATATGGTGCCTAGATACTCTGGATTAATTTAAAAAATAAGATGTATAATTACATAGAAAACTCTTGTAATAAAAACAAGAGCACATACATCGGTATGAATGATTATAGATATCTTATAACATTATGTCAGTGATGAAATAAAAATACATTTTTATATTCTATGAATCATTACAATCTTTTCATCCTTACAGTATCATTAATGTAACTCTAATATAGAATAATTAATTTAAATAAAGTAAGCATGATAATAATTAATGAGACTTATTCTTAGAATGCAATAAAATCAGTTAAACCGAAAAAGATATTTCTTTAATTTACATATATTTTATTACAATTACAACAATATATTATATTGTTTTATTACATAAAGTTAGAAAGCCTTTGAAAATTTCTGATCTCTTCTGTCTTGCTCTATAAAATTTTGCACATCCAGTATGTGAAGAAAAGATTTAATTTGTGAGTGTGTTATAAAACCAGCTAACAGTGCATGAAAAGTGAAAATTGTTGCAATTACAGGTATCATTGGCTTGTAGACTGATGAAATAATTCTAAATATTCCTTTCACATCAGTTATATGTGGTATGTTATGCATCCCACTGCGAGCACCAATCTGAAGCAGATATATAACATAGCATTTTAATAAATATAAATTTTAAAATATTTTTATATGAAGAAAGATTAACCATTATATAAAAATAACAGAGCAAAGTTTATACTTACAGAAAAATTTGCGAATGGTACTAGTATCAATGGAAGAAGCAAGCCAGTAGAAGCTTGTAACAAAATAGACCTGGATTCCAGGCATATAGGACAAGAAATCTCCAATAACAACATTTTATTCAGGATTATCTAAACCATATTATTTTTTTGTATAAATAGCAAATATAAACAGACTAGTAGTATGATTATATTTTACGTTATTGCCTTCCTGTTGTTGCATTAAGTCACCAAGTATTTTTGGTTATTCTATTTTTACTTGTAGATTGTACCTCTGTGTAAAGAAGTGTTGTCGCTACAGCTGGACCAGTTGTAACACCAGCCATTGTGGGGAACACACCGAAATTCCGGAATTTTAATTTTCTTCTAAATCGTTGATTGATGTAAAACCCAGTTAATGAAGCCGCTGAAGTCAGAATAGCTCGTCCAAATAATAGCGACCATCTAAAATAAATTACCGTTTTACATCGTATACACCATTTAAGGAAAATTTACAACACAATATGAATTTAATAAATAATATTTCAAGCCACATGCAAATGCTTGGTACGCTTAATCGAAAAACATAATAAACATAATAATAAGGTTAGGTACACTTCGCTTCGTGGATTCCAGGTTTTAATAAGTTCTAATTGATTGGATAAAGCCTCCATTTTTGTCAATAGTATGGCATTTTGTGGTATATCGTGTCGCATGCGTGTTTCCATTTTTTAATTTTTCAGATTTCACGGTGTCAACATGAAACACCGCAAGCCACAGCTGCATAGACTATATATATATTATTACTGTAACAGAACTAGTACGCAAACGCATAGTTATGTAATAGATTCGTTCTATTTCAATCTTTTTAATTGCATTTTATATACTTTTTTTTATATCTGTAATTATCTACATCGATAATTCTGTAATTCAACATTTATTTTGATTATATTCATTAAATTATTTATTAAACAATTATTTGTAAATTTTACTTTATCTATATGCAATAAATTATTTTATTATTCTTTTTCTATCTCATCTTATTTTAATTGTGTTAATATTACTTTCAATAAATCTTAAATAAAAATAAAAAATTCATATATAAAACAAATTTATTGTAATTCGACTTATTGATTATCGAGTTATCGATAGTAATAGATCGATAGTATATCGAGTGATCGTATTATTGCATATTGCCACCAGATGGCAACAGTTAATTATCTGATTAGTAGCGCCGCTCTTAGTAGACGTTCGAAATTAATGTTCTTTACAAAGTGTTGTGTTAACGTGTTGCCGCGACGAAAAGATCACCGTGAATATCGAACAAGCGCGTTGCATAGCGACATTTATATTTATTTCGATTCAGATTACGTGTCATTCGAGTGTTTCTTACAGAAAGAGCAATAAGGTAACGATATCAAAGTTATTGAAAGCAATATATATTGATACTTCAAATGCGCCTCTGTTATGTCTCTCGCATTCGGCGTCCAAAATACATCCAAATTTACATATATTTGGATATTTAAAGACTCTCACTTCTGTATTACATAATTTGTTGCAATGCAGTCTACTTTATAGATCGTCGAATATATATCCAGCTAACCAATTTGCTTGGAAATTGTCAACAATCGGGAAACAAAATACGACCAAATATCAATAATTTTAATCGTCGATTTATCAAACCGGGCATGATGCAATTGTTTCATGAAAATGAACTTATTATTTATATATCACTAGTGACTTTTGGCGCGCATTACAAACGTTTGAAATAAATGAAACAATTGAGCATAAATAATAATAATGGTACGTCGCTTGCAACCCTCGTTCGAATCGCAATTGCGGGACGCGTGAAGGCACCGACTCGGGACGGTAAAAAGTCGGGTGAACGCGATCTGATTATCAGACAGTGCCGAGGAACAATCGAGGGAATATCGACAGCGCACGAGGGGGTTGTTTGCGCGGCGGAGTAGCGCGTGACGGATGGGCGCGCGAGCTTACGAACGGTGACGTCACGTGGCGGGCGGCGGACCAATCGGAGCCGGGCGTTCCACTCCTGCCAGCCAGTCGGTTTTCCGGCTGCTAGACCAAGCGGGACGCCATATTGCCCGTGGCCGAGTGGTGGCGGCGGCCGCCTGTGTGTTTATATCGTCGTAACGTGGCTTTTCCACACGTTTCTCACGTTCGGCTCGCCGCGTCGGATTTCTCGCGAGTGACATTTCGAGCGGTGCGCGTGTCCGTGGACGCCGTGCGCGGAAACAACCCGTCGTTATTATCGAGTGACAACAACATATAGTGCGCGCGACACCGTTGTGCGATTCTTCCGCGAGGAAGCTCGGGCGTCCAAGTGACAGATCGCGGCGGACCAGAGTATAGTAGTGCCTCGTCGTCGTCGCCGTCGTCTTCGTGCCGCTGTTTTCGTCCCTGTCGCATTTCCGTCTGTCCTCTGTCACTCTCCGTGTTGGACCGTTCCGGAGTATATCGCTAGATCCTGGAAGTGCTGTGTTTTCGTCATCGTTCATCCCCTGCGAGAGGCTCTACCGCGGAGAAAGATGCCAGTGCGTAAACAAGGTGGTAAGCTCGTACATGTCTTAAGAATGTTAATTGCGCTGACGAATCGTTCGTCGTCATTCGAGAGCAAATTCGTGGGAGCGCAAGTCGCCACGGAGAGGGGTGGCTGCAGTGTTTGTATGGGTCACTCGGTCAACTGTTATTCGGACTGACAGATCGCGTGCACGTTGCTTCTTCCTTTCTTAGCGGAATGTCATCACCTGCGAGTCACGTCGTCTTTTGGAAATTTTAGGAGCGCAGGATGCTTGCTTGCGTAATTATTGTTACGGTATATGTTGATACAGCAGTGATCAGGTGTTCAGGTTTGCTGATCGTTTTTTAGCTACTGCGCGCTATTCTCGCGACCTTGAGTTCGCGTATCGTGGTACGTATAATTCGGGCGATCGAAAGTGACATTCGAACTCTTCGACGTCTTGATAATCGCGCAAAACTCGTCGGAGCATTGGCCACGTGTAATGAACTCGCGACCCTTTTTCGGAGCAAAACGAGGGGTTAAAGAGGATAGCTCTCGGCTGCGTGCGGTCTCTTAATTTTCTCGTTATCTTTTACACGGTAGATACGCTATAAAAATCTAACAGGAGATCCGCACATACACGTGTAATATAAAATGAAGTACGTTATGGCAAGTATACCATGCGTCGTATGTTTCTCGTTTTGATACGCATCATCGTGATAAACTGCCTGCGCGAATGCGGAAATTGTACGACATCGAATCACGAACTACGTGTCATGTTGCAACTGGAATTGACTATTGTATTGTGCATTGAAATGAAGTTGAACGTCTAAACTCTTTAACGTTGTTCTTCTTATAGAAATGTATTTAAAATTTATTATAAAAGGATATGCTTTTGTGCTCATTAAATATACGTATAAATACATATAAATATATGTATAATTATATATAATTTACATATATATTGAATATTTAATATGAAAAATATTTCAAATTTAATAGGAAAATTTCGTTTTATATATTGTAATATTATTCATATATACATATAATATTTAGATTTATAAATTTATTTTCTTATTTGATATATTAGAATTTTTTATTTAGAAATTTCGTTAGAAAATAATATAATTTGTATACATAACATTTGTATACATATTTGTATAACATAATGGATTCTGTCATAATAGACAACATTTCAAATGCATTTAAAATGAAGTATAATTTATTGTAATATATCAGATATTTTTTCTTTTATTTCAAAATTACATAAGAGCTTCACGAAGGGAGGAATTAACCGTATTGTTTTCGCGTTTAATCTTCGCACGTGGACCACAGGGCCAATATCGGAGACATGCGGGGATTCTTCTCGTTTATGCGATTTTCTTTGATATAGGCCAGTCTGGCGATGTCGCAATAATCGCCGTCGTCGCGGCATAAGCCAGTGTTTGAACAGGGGCCAAGAAAACGCAATAATTTCGGCTCTAGGCGAGGCTCTTTTGCCACGGTTATGCGACGAGTAACTCACGGCCATGGGCTCGGTCACCACTAGCGTACCGACGATTTTGCTCTCGAAATTGCACTCTTGGTCGCCTTGCTTTTAAGTGACGGCGTATTTCAAGTGAACGCTCTCTAAAGCTAACCTTGCTCTATAATAGCGAGATATTTCAGATTTCATCGCCGAGTCAGAATATCTCGTGGAATTTTGAATTTAGAATTGCTTTTAAATTTACAATTTTCTTTATCACATGCAGTGGCAAGATAATATTCATTGCAGCATTTCACATATGTGTATATCAATGTTAACTCTTACACTGGACGTGCAATTTAAATATGAAATTTGAATATTTCATGATTATATCTCACGCTTTAGATAGTTTTAACATTTTTTAAAATATTACATTGAAATATTGAAATATTAAACATGTATATAAAAGTATATTTTATTTTATTATGTTAAATTAAGTGAAGAATTTTCATAGACTGTAAAAACATGGCAATACTTTTTAGATTTCTTTTCGTGTATTCCAATAATTTTCTGTGTTAAAAATAGACTATTTAATTTTTGTAAAATTTCGAATTTAATATTCAAAATTCAAACGTAATTCACTTTAGCCATTTAATTAGAATCTTGTAGTGACAATATGTATGGGTGTTTGTTTAAAATCACGTCGCACCGTAACAGCGCATAAAGTTTTAGTATAATTTAAACTTGTCGTTTGGTTTAAATTTAACTCCTCCTTTAAATCACGAAAGCGGACGATCGCGAAATTTCGAAAGTTACTGGAATATATTTAACATTGAATCAATCTTTAATTATGCTATCGTCGAGGAATCGATCGTACTACAATGGAGATGGGTTTCTTTAAGTATATTTCTCGAGAAGTCGGAAGCGAAACTTTAGACTTCTCTTGAAGCCGCGATTGCTAAACTAAAAATGAAAAATTTCTTTTAATATTTCAAAATTACAATTTTTATTAAAGTTAAATTATTAAAGTTTTTACTTTTAATATGATATTTTGCAATATTTTTTTTACTATTAAACCAACTTATTATATATGAATATATGTAAGATAAAAATTGAAATATGTATATTACAGATAATTTTGTATTTTGATTGCATTTATTAAATTTAACAGTATTGTCTTTGACAAAATAAAAAGGCATAAATAATTGGAACTTTGGGGATATCATGAATAATGTGCAGTTTGTGATATTATGCGGAATTGTGTGAATCAGAGGTTATAATTCTAGAATGCCACGTGTTTGTGAGCGTGGTGCAGCAGCGCGTCAAACAGTCTCGCGTGAAAAATCGATATCTCGGGGTTCAAATATCCCAGCTGTGTTCCTGCCGTATTTCGTAATATTTTTTACAAATGTATACGTTATATTATTATATTTATTGAAATTTACAAATTTTTCTAAAAAAAATATGGCTCGGAGTTAGCGATTGCATTAAAAAACACAGTCGTGTAGAGAATAACTATTGTACGGTAGCACGTGCTGTGCGGAAACGAGGTAGAGGTAAAGGTAACGTATTGATTCTTTTCAGCTCTGAACTTCTGCGTATGTAGGCCACGGTGGATGTATTCAGAAGGGCATTCGGGCGTAAATAGCGTTAACGCTAAAATAGGCACATTCATTGCTAAAGTGATCAACGACAAGTCGGAAATATTTTTTTTTCTATAGAAGACTTTTTATACATGTACGTACATGTGTGTATGTGTGTGTGTGTGTATTATCAAAGCGGAAAAAAACAAAACACTTTTACAGTGCTGTTACGATGCTCAATAATTATTTAATAAATTTAAAAAA